TGGATTTCACAAAAAAAATGTTAACTTTCTCGAATGCAGATGTTGAGTTTTCTGAGTAGCAGAAATCGATTGTCTCACTCTACAAACAATCACATTTTACTTTCTAATTTCAGAACGCAGACACTAACTTTTCGCCCGCAAAACTCTTTTCGTCCGCTGCAGGGTTGCTAGTTCTAGTGAATTTTCAGTAGATCTCCTCATCTCCACATATTGATGTATTGATCTACTGAAACAGTTCATAACCTACTGAACAATATTTTGATTTTTATTTATTATCATAAGGGGCGAGTAGACTGATAATGAATTTTTGGAATTCAATTACTCCGCTGTGTCGTTAGGGAGCTATATTAATTTTTGCAATACTTCTCACGCTTTTTTTATTTAAATGATGAGTCTATGCGTTGTTCAGAATAATTGTTGAATTTTAGAGCTCATTTCAAACGTACCGTCATGGCCGGTCAGTTCTTATGCGATTTCGTTATTGGTCAGATAATCTTCCATTTTCACTCATGAAGCAAGGTTGTCACCAATCATTATATTAGAGTCCTGTCGTTGAATAAAACACGAGGTGAAACCTAATTTAAGGAAGACATTCTTTTCTTTTTCGAGCAACCATCAAGTCTTTATATTTCTTATACTCCATAACAAAATATCATGTTGATGTTGAAAGCTTGGCAACAATGTGCTGAATGCAAGGCACCGCCCACAATTCGTCATACCGTGTTGTCCTGTTTACCCTAAAATGTCCTGCAGTGTGAATTAATATAATAATATCATTATCAACACAAATTTATTATAATCAAAAAGCCACAACATATGAGGGAATATTTTGGGACAATTGATTTTTTATGTCTGATTAGAAATATAACTAATTCAAAATTGAGAATGTATGAATCATTGAATAATCAATATTCCTAAAGTTCCAGTGGTATTTCAACATATGGCAACTGTGCTATGGTCTGTCCCTATTTACAAAATCGTGACGTCAGTTTTAACCCGCGGTAAATTTTTTGCTGTTTGAAAATTACCGTGGCATTATTGTTGATTTCAGCACCTCAAAATCGAACAAACAATTCTAAAAAAATATGGAATTGAAAGGTTTTTGAGTGATGATTCTACTTAAGAAATGAAAATAAAATAGTCCACGCGCCTATCAAATATAATATTATTAATCTTTAGTTTATCACATACACTTATAAAGTGCATGATATTTCTGCACGCCCTGTTTAGATTGATTCCACAAAATAAGGAATAACCTTACATATAGGTACTAATGATATGTAAAAACCAAAAGAGGACAATACTTCATCTGATTTAGATCAAATTCAATTTTGTATATGCCCTTGTTGTTATACAGTTTGTTTCTTACGTTAATTTTTTCTGTTTGTTTCGTATTCTTGTTGTTCATTTTTACTATTCACTTCTGTTTTTTATATACTCGAATCTTACAAGTACCTATGTTAATGTATTTTGTGATATTTGTGAGAATTTTTGAATTGTGAGTCAGGAATATGATAACTTTTTTATGAGAATGTTTGTTTATTTTTGTTTCTATTTTGTTGAAAATGGGTTAATTTTCTGTTCACTGAAAGTACATAATGTTTTGACGTAATAGGTTAATTTCATTATATTTTCTTTGAATTCGCATAGCATGAAATATATCTGATGAAATAAAAATCGAACCGGCAACCCTGGTCCGCGCGGAAAGTGATTTGACAACAACTGCTTTTTGTTCAAGAATATTGTTCTTCTTGACAAAGCTCAACACTATATGTAGGTACAGTAAAAAATAAGATGGGTATAACTACACAAAATGTAAAGGAAGTTATCAATTGAATGTTTATGACACACAAAAACAGTGAATAAAAAAAAAAACAATTAAGGATACATTCATGATATAGCTAACAATATAATTAAATGGTTATACATATAAGTACTCTCCATATTATATCACATACAGCTAATTCCTGATCTGAAATTTGTCTTTATAAAATTCCTGCAGGTTGTAGTATGCCTGTGAAATGAGGAAGTATCCAATACCCTTCCTGAATATTTTGGCGTTTTTTGCTTTTTTCAAATTTCTGGAATATGGTTTACATATTTTTTTGCGTTCATATACAGGGTGTCCCGAAATTAGCCTGACAAGCTGCCAGCGGCTTCTACGATCAAAAATAGGAAGAAAAGTGCCACTGAAAATTAGTCGAGATAATATGTCTCCTAAGGGAGCTACGGCCCCCTGAAAGGAGAATCCTGAGGATGATATTTCTTGACTATTTCCGAATGATAAAATGACGCAATTTGGCACAAGAACTAAATTTTTCATGCGCAATGCGGTAAACAAAAAAGCATTCCGAAGTATCATTCAGGAGTGTATAATACAGGGTGGGAATACATTAAATATTGCTCAAACTTTTTTGTATGCATATTGTTCGACAATTTATCAGATTATGAAAATCCACACCGTTTCACAAAAAAAATATTGATACACCACATTTCATGCATAACAATGCCAATTTTCAAATCATAGTGGCTATGAAAAAATCAACTACTTTCTTTTAACCAAACAGTCTCATACTTCAATTTTTGTACATTTTTTTCCATTTCCACTACGACTCATTGCAATGTTATGCATAATAAATGTAACATTATTTTTAAATCGCTTCAACTTGATAATGATACATCTGATAGTTACGGAACAATATTCTCATTAATGTCCTTTCTCCTTTTATTTTTTGAACGGATCAACTGAAAAAAATTACACTTAGGATAATGGAATTGATGCATAAATACTATATTTTGAAATAAAATTGACAGATGAACATTTCAAGATGGCGACTAGGCGCCATCTGGGGAAAAAATTAAATGGGATGGGGGTCTTCTGACACATCTTTTTGATGCTCCATACGAATACTTCACAACCCTGGAATATGAAGTCAATATCTTCACATACTACAAAATGGCAACATTTGATAGTCGTCATCTTGACATTTTCATCTGTTAATTTTACGTAATTATGCATCAATTTCATTATCCCAAGTTTGAATTTTTTCAGTTGAGAAGTTCGAAAAATGAAAGGAGGGGGGACATCAAAGAAAAGCACTGTACTATTCCGGACGAATGACCGTATTTCATAATGAAAATTCAAGAGATTATTTTGGCAATATCCGAACGAAACTTTTGTCTGTTATTATTATTTTCAAGTTTTTTATATACATCCAACTACTAGAAATAATCTCATTAAAACCATGGTGAAAACCTCCAACCCCAACATTCCTATATATTTCTGTATTGGTTGGTTTCGATGTAATAATATATGCATGTATAATATCTAGTATAATATAAAGAGTGTTTCTGAAATTGAGGCGATGAATGAAATCGGTAATTGAAAACGAAAAACAAAAAAAAAACAGATGCCCGCGTTTAAAAAAATCGAAAAATCTGAATCGTAGTAGGGCGATTGAAACACAATAGGATCAATGTATTCAAACTAAAAGGTTAGAAATAACTAACCTCTTAGAAATTATGAATGATTTCGAAATATTTTTTTCTGCTAAAATTAGGACTCGAGATTTTGAACATATGAATTGAGAAATTTTTTGAGGTGCTGATTCTAGATCTGATAAAAAAAGTTACCCAAAGTACCTAATATATTTTTACTAAAAAAAAACCTTTGCCTTCTCAACACCGCACACCAATGGTAAATAAAAATGTTCACTAAGCTAATCCTTCATTTATCATACAATCACCAAAATTTGCTTGAAGCTTGCATTATAAATATTAGAGTGTGTTCATTTGAAGTGGGACATACTGTGTATAAGTGTTATTAATGAATTTGTGAAAATCCTATCGTTTGTGAAATTTTTACGTTAGATGAACCTTGAAATCAAGGTTCGTCTACCCATCGAGCGAGTTGATCTAGCGATGATTCAAACGCTGAAGCAATCCTAAATGATTCGTTTCAGTATATAACTTTATCATGAATTAAATAAATGTTTATAATGAGTAATTATTCACGTTCATTTAACAAAATCAGTAAACGTTTATGCGACATTAAAGATAATTTTCAACGTATAATTTTTCAGGATTATCAAAGTTTCATATCAACGTTTAATAGTGATTGTACATTGACACGTTTGCGCTTCATCGTTGAATATTTCGAACAGTCACGTTGTTTTCACTTTTCTATCCGTTATTCAATGTTTTCAAAACGAACTTGTGTTCACAAGATATTGAGCTTCAGAGTTTGTTCTCGGCAAGGTCAGAAGAACCGGAAGTGTAAATGGTTTCTGCAATGTTGCTGGACGTTCGCTAATTGCTAAAAGATGTAGAATGGTCAGAGTGCACAGTTTTCATGATTTTTTTGTGCGTGCCATTTTGTCTCATACAATTACCTAATATATTCAACAACTCAACTTCGGAAACAACTTGTATTGAATAACCATTTCAAACATCTTATTTTCACCATCAGAGTGACTGTTGCATAACTCATAAGAATGTGTGTATAATAAAATTTGTCCAGCATTCAGTAATGAAACCCTTTTACGGACGCCAATCTAAACGATCTTCATACCCACTCATATTAGAGCAAGAGCCGTCCGAAATCAATGCATTATTTCTGCACTTCACTAGATTTTTTGCTTCAACCTTTTAATGACGTCGTGGTGTTTCGACTTATGCATGAGTGGTGACATCGGTCTGAAAGACGACATAGATTTAAGTGCCTGAAATTGATATGGTAAATTTGATGAGAACAATGAACGATGTTGTTTTTATTTAAAAAAGTAAATCATAATGAACTGATTTGGAAGAATTCTCTAAATTGAATTATTTGAATTATGAGAAAACACGCTGCATGACCCGAAAAAGATTAGTCATATTGTAGAACCATCGAAAGATAGCTCAAAAATTGATGAAATAATATCTGGTTTGTCATAGAAACCGCACGTCATTACTGAAGAGTTCATAAATTCTCAAATATCTCCAGTTTTTATTTATTTCAGAATTTAACGGAATTCAATACTGCTCATAACAGAAGGATATCAATGTTGGGAATAACAGATGACTCGGATAAGAGATCGACGAGCAGAAAAAGAAAACGACAGTGCGTTTCCTTCAATGAAGACGACGAAGTAATCAACCCAGAAGATATTGACCCAAGCATAGGTAGGTTTAGGAACCTTGTACAAACTACAGTAGTTCCAACATCATCGAAACGGGCGAAAATTGCTGAGAGTATTGGCATAACCAGCTCGGAATTCAGAGTTCCGAAAAACTTGCATCACCAACAAAGCACGACTCTAGATCTTTATAACGATTTACCACCAGAGTCGCATCCTACCGGCACCAATTTGAGTATATACAGTTCTTTGAGTTCGAGGTTGGGTATTGTACTACCGAACCCAGCACCAGAAGTTGAAATGGGTCAGAATTTCCCAAATCCATCGTCTTTTGTTCCTGCGCAAGTCCAAGCATCCGATGCCCTAGAGCCTAAGAAGAAAAAGTATGCAAAGGAAGCTTGGCCAGGGAAAAAGCCCACACAGACATTGCTGGTGTAAAAGTGAGTTAGGTTTATGGGTGATTTTTTTTTATTGATTCTGTGAATATCTTCAAATTTTAGATAAAAGATAAGGTACATAATATATGACTCACAATTTGTTCAATGTTATTTAAGATGATCGAAAATTTGATTTGTAATTCATAATATTACAGGTTGGCCAATGATGGTGCAGTAAATGATTACTGCACATTTAATCACCATTTGGAATACGGACAAAATATATTCATTTGTCAATCTTATGAACAGACCATTTATATAAAATTATAATGAATGATCTTTATTGAGTATGAATTATTGATACTCAATAGTTTTGCGACCGAGGTCTTTCAGCCACAATAATTTATACAGGGTGTTCCAGACTTAAATGTACATACGATACTGGCAGATAGAGGACACTGACGGTTTCAAATCACCCCCATTGATGTGTTTACCGTCTTTTATAACTGAGATACAGGACGTTATCTTGATTTTGGCAAAATCTTCATCTGGTCATAATTTCTGAACCACGTGGTATAATCTATTTATACTTGGTAGAAACATTTCACTTATATTATACATCAAAACTAAATAAAAAGTGAGATTTGAATCCAGGTCCGTCTTAAGGAAAAACAGAAAACTTGTTTATTTCAAAAACAACATTTTGTGGATATGTTTTGATATTTGGAAAGAGCAGGAAAAAATTAATAAAGTGACCGACTTATTACGAGCGCGCATCCAATTTGACAGATGGTTTATCATTATGTTTTGAAATATTCACCCCATTTCGAGGCATTTTTATCGTACTGTAATTCAAAATTCAATTTTGATAAAAAAAAAATTAGCTTCAAAGTTGAAAGTCATTAGGTGAACTATCGATAGATTTACCGCAACTCATAAACATATACGTATTAATAAACAATACGGATCATAACGGGTGCCAGGATGAAGCCAAAAATATGAAACAAATGAATATCCATAAGGATTTGGTGGCATGATACGCATGCGCCATGCGCTATTATAGTAGTCATCAAAGATATGCGTTTCGGTGGACAATGACGTTTACTAGCCTTTCAATCAAAGCAGTATGTGTCTGATCGTTTCAAAACTTTTCCTTATGGATAGTCATTTGTCTTCAAAAATCGGCTTCATGTTTCGCTATGGAAACAGATAGAGATTATCCGTATTGATTATTAATACGTATATGCTCATAAATCAATAGTGAATAATAAAACGAGCCCTCAAAAATTTCCAAAACCCCAGACGTTATTCTGTCGAACGAAAATATCTATTGATTTCACCCTAATGGTGTTGAACTTCGAAGGATGTTATTATTTTGTGAAATAATTGGATTTTGGAATACGAGTTTTCAATAAAAATGACTCAAAATGGAGCTGAGTATATCAGAAAATAATAATAAAACATTTGTCAAATCGGATGCCCGGTCCTGAAAAGTATGTCTTTCTATTCGTTTTTCCCTGCTCTTTCCAAATATTGAAACAGATCAAAAAAAATTTGCCATACAGAGTGTTGTTTTTGATATAAAAGAAGTTTTCTGTTTTTCCTCAAGGCGGACCTGGATTCTGATCCCGATTTCCATTTAGGTTTGATGGGTAATATGATTGAAATAGTTCTACCAAGCATGGATAGACTATACAAAGTGGTTCAAAAGCTATGGCCAGATGATGATTTTGCCAAAATCAAGATATCGTCCTGTATCTCAGTTATAAAAAACGGTAGACAGATCAAAGGGGGGTGACTTCGAATGATCACAGTGTCCCATATCTACAGGTATCGTATGTACATTTAAATCTGAAACACCCTGTATAGGTTCAAGGTCATGTTATTTCAGTGTTACTATTCAATCATTTTGTTTCAATTTTTTCAAAGATTGTTTCAGTTTTGTCGTGACAGACAGATACAGGGTGATCAGAATTCTGAATCTTGAAGCACCCTGTATTTTTTTCAATAAAATTCCAGTAGATAGTGAATCAAAAGCTGAGATAGGAACATGTAAGCCTATATCTCTGTAATCATTCCTGCTAGAACCCAAGTGTGATACATTGATGAAATCAGCTCGTCAGGAAGAATCTAAAAATGCAATAAAATACAGGGTGTTTCATTCGAAATAAAGTTGCTAGTTGTTTCTGATAGAAGTGGCAACACTGTATCGATGAAAATATATTAGACGGATAGGGAATGTTCAATTATCAAAGCATCCCAATTTTCAGAACGTTTTGTCTTCTCGTTCTCCAGATACTTCTAATTGGACATCCACCGTGGAGACGGATAGGGAATGTTCAATTATCAAAGCATCCCAATTTTCAGAACGTTTTGTCTTCTCGTTCTCCAGATACTTCTAATTGGACATCCACCGTGGAGTGGATCAGCCTGTATATATGCGCATGTAATGGGACGTTTCAAAATAATGTACATGTGAAATATCCAATAAGTCACGTCTTCGTGTCTGCAAACTGCTCATATATTATATTCTTGTGATCGACTACAATGTATACCATAGACACATAAATGTGTATTTATTTATATGCAAATATGACACGACGTTTCAAATAATATTCATGTAGTATATCCAATATGTCACGTATATATGTGTGCAAACTGTTCATGTATTATATTCTTGTGATTGACCACAATGTTTCGACAGCTATTTGCAGCAGTAGGTACATATCTGATATGTAATTTTATGTAATATAAGGTGTAGTTGTGCTCATGATGCTATGTTTCCAGCATGTATTAAATATGTTTTTTAACTTGAATTCAAACTTAATTAGCCGTAATTGAACCATGTATATGTTACTGTGAAATACCGAAATCCGGTGAATGTCGAGATATACCGGTGAATGTCAACATTCACCAAGTTACCTGGCGTATGTCCGACATATTGATCAAATATAATTATTTTCAACTTGCACCGACGAATGTCAACCTTCATCATGCTCTCATGACTCTTGGTATATGTATAAAAGACACATTCTTTTCTAAATGAAAACAAAATAGAACAGGCTATTATTTCATTTTGATCGAAACTTAGGAAACGATTTCCAATAAACATATAAAGAACGTTTCAAGTTCAGAGCAAACAGCAAACATATCTCTGATGAACCACATAGAATAGATTTTATTTTTTTAATCCAAGAATAAAATCAATGGAAATTCTAAATAAATGCCTATTTGAAATCATATAAGTAGATAAACATTTTTAAATTCTGAGATTTTATTAATGTGGCAGTGAAAAGAACGGCAGTGTTTCGTTTGTCAAATTTTAAAGTGTACTGCGAAAAAGTGGAAAATATTCAGTCGCCACTATACTATACAACATATAAACATCAAATCATGATAGTTAAATGAAAAATTCACAAACGATAAGATTTCCACAAAATTCTCAAACACACGACATGTTTCGCTAACACAGTAGCTTCATTAGGTGATATACTGGTAAAACGAACCATTCGTAATGCTAAGAACTTTGAGACGCTATACATAGTGGAGTATACTACGGCCATGCCAAAAATGCTATCTCGGAAACTAAGCGAGGTAGAGTTACTTTTGAGAAAATGATCCCCATCGAATTTTGAGCAACTTTGGTGTTTGTGTGTGGTCTGTCTGTCTGTGTCTGTCTGTCTGTACTCTGTGTTAATCATAAATCGATATATCTCCGGAACCCTTTGACATATCGACTTGAAATTTTGCCATCTTATTGTACTCAAAACAATATTATGTCATTAAAATATGAAGGAAATCGGAAAACTCAAAGGTGGTTTCTCCGGGTTTTTTCGATTTTTCACCGAAAGTTTCTTGCGACCACTCTACAAATCGCCATAGTTGTCCGATCGATTTCATTTCTTGTGAAAAATAAGTCTATCAGGAAGAGACGAAGCCTATTGAAATTGAGCAGGGTCGGGAAATTCCAAGTGGGTTTTTCAAGGAGATTTTCCGAAAAACACGGTTCGCTTTGAAACGACATATCTCCTGAACCAATAGACTAAATCCAAATTTGAAAAATGCACCGTATGCCTCTTTGATGACGCAACAAATTATTTCATCACAATTTTTTCGTGCATCCATCGGAAAATGGAAAAACAAATGAAAATCAAAACATCAAAATTTGAAATCCTTTCAATTCAATATATATCGAAAACAAATGGAAAAATCGAAAATTACCCAGAGTGCAAAGTTATCCACTGGAACATTTCCTACAAATTATTTCCCATAATTCTTTCTGTAAACCCAATAGTACAGGAAATAAAGTGAAAAATATGAAAAAAATAATTTTAAAGACCCATAGGGTACTATGAAGATATATTGAAAAACAAAGATCATCGATAGATGAAGCTCATCGACTTCCACTGAACCATGAAATATTTTTTCATTTTGTTGATTGGAAGATGGAACAAAAGTGTTGAAAATTTAACTCTCAGATGATTCCGAATATCTCGAAAACAACTGAAAATATCTGAAAATGTTATAGAAACAAAACTATTTCTTTTTATGGAATCTACAAAAAATCCGTATAACATTTTTCTCTGAATTCAATAGTTCGGGAGATACGATGGAAAAACTAAAAAATTCACAAGTTCCTAGATAATCACTTGCCAATAGAAAACAAAACAAAAAACAGAAGAGAGTAAAAAAAGCACACTCGACTGTCTTGATTTTTTTCTCATAAACTACGTACCTAGCTCACTCGACTGTGTGGAGAAACCAAGACAGTCGAGTGGGCTAAGTACATAGTTTGTGGGAAAAATCTCCAGTTCTCTGAACTTATATAGCGTCGTATACACATCTTTGGTGCCCAATGATAGTTTCAATATAAAAATATGCTCATGATATGGTGCCATGGCCTCTACTTCTATCTTACATGAGCAGTGATGAAATATCATCTGCTTTTATAGCGTTGTATAAATTATCTGACCTCTAAATAAACTAATACCTAATGAAAACGTACCTCACTTGTTATACGACGCTATACCTATAGTGGAGTATACTACGGCCTTGCCAAAA